TGGGGAGCACAGGTACGGGCAGGTGAGGATGGGGAGCACAGGTACGGCCAGGTGAGAGTGGGGAGCACAGGTACGGCCAGGTGAGAGTGGGGAGCACAGGTACGGCCAGGTGAGGATGGAGGGGGAGCACAGGTACGGGCAGGTGAGGGTGGAGGGGGAGCACAGGTACGGCCAGGTGAGAATGGGGAGCACAGGTATGGCCAGGTGAGGGTGAGGAGCACAGGTACGGCCAGGTGAGGGTGGAGGGGGAGCACAGGTATGGCCAGGTGAGGGGAGCAGGTACAGCCAGGTGAGGATGGGGGAGCACAGGTACAGCCAGATGAGGGAAGCAGGTACAGCCAGGTGAGGGTGAGGGAGCACAGGTACGGCCAAGTGAGTGTGGAGAGCACAGGTATGGCCAGGTGAGAATGAGGGAGCACAGGTGAGACACAGACACAGATGGGTTTGGGATGTGACCCCAGGTGAGTCCCAGACCCCCCAGGGGATTGGGGTGTGACTCCAAGTGAGATACAGACACACACACACACACCCGGGGGACCTGGGGGTGACCCCAGGTGAGTGACAGACCTCCTGGGGGTTGAGGATGTGAGCCCAGGTGAGTGGCAGACCTCCCTGAGGTTTGGGGTGTGAGCCCAGGGAAGTCACAGACCCTCCATGGGTTTGGGATCTGAGCCCCAGGTGAGTCACAGACCCAGAGGCTCTCATGGCACACAGCAGAATCTCCTGGGGAACTTGGAATTCCAGGCTACCTTTTTCAACACGTTACAAAACTTAAAATGTGCTTTTAAATTATTCTCTCACAGCGAGGTGAGAGCTGATGTCCAGTCATCAGATTCCGAGCTCTAATTTGGGAATTAGAAAAAAATTCACAGCCAGGGATTTTTTCTTTCTAAGACTTTATTTAAGGATTTCAGGATTTTGGCCCCCAGTGGAATAAATCCTAATGGATATGCATTAAGAGGCTGAATTTTATTGTTTCTGGAGGTTTGCTTTAATCTAACTTTGCATCACATTTCACATGGGCTTTGGAGGGAGGACAGGACTTAGTAAAGAGCTCTGGTCTTTTATTTCAAAAGGGAACAAAACCAAACCCAACTTTGCATCACTTTGCTTTAGTTCACAAACTTCCTGGGCCAAGCTTGACAAGGTCCCATAGCCATGTGCAACTGTGATTTCAGTGTTGCTGAATTTGAAGGTTTCAGTGGGTATTCAGGGTTTGTACCAGACTGGAAATCATTCTCCTCGAGTGAAATGCAGAAACATTTGTGTGGAAATCCCTCTCGGCCAAAATAGCTGAGCTCTGCACCACTCCTTTTCTAAGATAAAAAGAAATGAATCCATAATAGTTTGTGACAGATGGCAGAAAATGTAACTAACTGAATGTGATTCTGTATGGAGTTATTTGAGGTTTTTGGTGTGATTTGTTGTGAGTTCCTCTCCTCCCCCCTTTCCTTCCCTTTGATTGCAGTCTTTGTCCATTTATTCTTAGGACAGAATAAGATTTCTGAGCAGGGGCCTCTCTTGTGGTGCAAAGTGAGAATTGTTTTTAATTGAGCAGAAACATGTGGAAGGATCAGGAATATCTCAAGGGATTACAGAAAAATTCCAAATTTGTACTACTTACAGCTTGTGTTTAGAGCGGGGTCTGCTGGGAATAAATGTTAGTTAGTGTGACCTGTGACCTTAAAAACTGTTGACATGGATTTCAGCCAGAAACTGGCCACAGAACTCCTTTGTTAGGCTCATTCATAGCTCCTTGAAAACTCCAGTCAGTGAAAGTTGCCAGCTCAAATCTAAGGAAAGCAGAGCCCTTTTTTTTCCTTTTTTTTTTTTCTTTTTTTTTCCCATGCTTTGGAAACAGTGGCCGCCCCTTCACCAGCAAGACTCCTTTAATGGGGCTGCGGGGCCGAGCCCTGATTGGAACTGACAGCTTCCTGGCCCGGCAGTGCCAACTGGCAGGGCACTGAGCCATGGCACCAACCGCCCCGGGACAGCCAGAGCCCCACCCCAGCACTGCCCGGGGGCACACAACGGACAGCGCGGGCTGGGGGCTGCTTTGGGATGATTTCCCCTTGGCACTGGTTTGGCCAAAAGCCACAGGGGAGTGTTTACCCTTGGGGCAGAGAACACGTTGTTGAATGCTTTGAAAAACCTCATCCCCCCGCTCTGAAGGGGTTAAGCTTTACAAAACCTCCTCCCTGGGCACTCGTTTCTGTCCAGGTTTCCCCCTTTTGGGGGTTCTGGGTGTCCCAGCTGGGTCCCTGGTGGCACTCAGTGTCTGGCTGCAGGAAGGCTCACCTGCCCTGAGC